CGCTGTGATATGTGGGGGGGGGGGGGGGGGGGGGTTACCTGCGACTTTGTGCACAGGACGTGTCCTAATATTGAGTCCGCTGGCTAGACCAGACTCCCGGGCCAGCACACCACCGTCAGTGTCACTTTATTTTTCTGCAGCTTGAGCATGGGGATGAGCGACGAGTTGTTCATGCCCACCGTTGTGGCGCCGTTCACTGCCACAATCTCATCGCCGCACCTGGAAGACAAACATTGGTCAGACACCAACGATAGGACTGACTAAAGGAGGGATGTCCAAACGTATCCAGTGAAGATAGGTTCAAAGTGTGGTGTGTAAATTATTACTGAATTAAATACAACTGAAAAGTATAATATTTAGACCATTAAATACAATTAGATATTAGAAAAATGCCTGTTTAAAAAAAATCTAATACAATATATTTTTTTTTAAATTTCAAGTACAGCACATTTGCATTTAATCTTTACCCGTTTTAAGAAATATTATTGGAAGACTCTTTTTTCCATTAAGTTTTAAGCGCAATACTGTACAATTTTATCACAATCATGCAATTATTCTCCCCCCCTTTATTTGAGCTTCAGTGCCCCCATATTGCAGGATGCTTCTGAATCAGACTAGCATGTGACCATCGCAAAAAAAAACAATTGGCTACTGACCACCTCGCATATTGGGCTGTATACCACAAGGGCTGCTTGTCATATGAACTGTACAATCCTGTATCGCGTTCTGAGGCTCCTCATGTTGTACTGTATCACTTTTTTTCATCCATAAAAAGATGGGAGTGTCAGTCAAGACATAGGTTGCTCCAGAAAGAGGAAATGGGCTTGTATAAAGATGAAAAAATGGGGACATATTGAAAGGCGGGGCTTGCTCTCACTCATTTAAATGAATGGTATGACGTTTCGCTGCACATATTATAAATATTGTTAAGTATTGTTGTAAAACACATGTTTATTGTATTTCTATCGCTTGGCGTTGCATGGTGGGTGGTTGTGTCTTGCTCGCTTACAACCCAGAAATGGGATTTTTCACCTGCGTGAAAGCTTCCATGCATTTTGACAGGTAATTATTTGCCACATTGCGCAGCTGCATTTCAAATTTTGAATCGCCGGAAAACCAGTGACCGATGGGTGGGTCAGCATGGGCACAGACTTTTGATGTGATCCGCCAGGACTGGTACTCTATTCTAATATTTTAATCAATGACACGACAACAAAATTCTTTTTTTTTTTTTGCGCATTACTGACTGAATGTGATTTAAAAAAAAACAAGGTTAAGAGCCCTTGCTCTAACGTACTTGAGGCGTCCGTCAAAGTGAGCAGGTGTGCCGGGCACGATGGTCTTGATGAAGAAGGGCTGCTGGCCGCGACTCTCCTCGTAGCCTCCAACAATGCTGAAGCCCCAGCTCTCATTGTTGCTCTTCTGCAGGACGATGTCACGGCACCAGTGCATGTGGCTTGACATGACAAGGGTAACGTTAGCGGAAAAAGTACGCCACAAATGAGTCTCACAGTGTACAATTGGAACCAGAAGAAAAAAAAAAAACACCTCTCAAGTTACACAACAGTTAAATGTGTATAATGTGTCTTGGCTCAATAAAGGTTAGAAAATACAATTTGCATTCTTGAACAAACCTGCATGTCACATTGCAAAATGTGTATTTTTCCTCGGCATATCGCAATTATGCCGCTTGAACGCAAAAAATAGGAAATGTGTTACTTGAACCATGCAGTGCAAAATCCAGCCTAAATGGAGGAAAAGTTGTACCTCGGTAAGCCCAACCATCGTGTCCACAGCGGCGTCCAGTTGAAGGCTTCTTCCCGTGCGTCCTCCGCGCCATCTGACCTGTTCCCGCCACCAGCCTCGGCGTCCTCCTGTGACTCTTCCGAAATGGTCTGGATGACACGCAGCGCCACTTGGGACTGAGCGGCCTGCGCCTTCAGCGTGGAAACGGCTTCGCTGTACGTCAGTTGCGTCAAGTCCACACCGTTGATGCTCAGCAGAACGTCACCTGAGGACGCACAGGAAATTCAGAACAGAGTTGTTCAGCGGAGGAAGACGTTTGCAGTAAACTCTTTGCTGGGAGGTCGGGACCAAGCCCCACTGCAAATGGTGAAAACTCATGAGTAATTAGTTGATGGTCCTAGGTAGTTGAGGATAGTTTCCATAGGAAAAAAAATTAAAACAAAAGATGGATTTGTAAGTAGTGAATTGCTAATAAGCAGGGTTCCCCTGGAACGCAAAGATTCTTCTGCAAACCTCGTTTGATGGTGCCGTCTCGATGCAGGCATCCGACGGGCTGCACGCTGGTAATGTAGACCGGCAGGCGGCTGCGGCAGTCTCGTCCGCCAGCAATGGTGATTCCCAGGGAAAGGCGAGGCTCCTTCTTCAGGCTCACGGTCTTCTCCTGGCTGGAAAACCCACCAGGGGGGTCCTGTGTGATCGCACAACCACGTTCAGTGCACACGTTTCATTTTAGTGCTGATTTAAATAAAACAACAACAGCTCTCTCCAGTATCAAAATACCGTCAATAAAAAAATTAATCCAGTGAGCATCGTTCACAACTTTTACTACTCACTGATGCGGGCGGGCTACACACAAATCAATTGGTCAGGCCAAATTTGAGCATTTTGCCTCTGACAAAAGATTATCGGATGTCAACCTTCATTGAGCGTTGCACATATTCTACATGATGAAACACACTCACGGCACACAGTTGAGATATGATAGTGGAGTGGTGTCATCCTGAGTACACCACACATAATTAGAGAAGTCAGCACACATCTGCCATTTTTTTGTTATGGTTCAAATTGAGACTAATGTGAACCATCCGATCTTTCGGATCAGTACAGTATGTAGACACTTGCCTCTTAGTTTTTCTCATGTATTGAGTTGTTCTTTAACACGTCCTTTTTCTAACGACATCAATGAAAATTGTCCGATGCGTCAGTAGAAAAAAAAAGTCCATCACTAGTTTAAAGAGTGACTTCCAATTGTTTCCGATACAGGGCCGCAATTGCAGTTCAAAAAAATAAATTAAAAATCACTACATTAGCGATTTTGAAGCAAGAGGTGGCCTAAAATGAGGCAGAGGTGGCTGCAACGCCACCTGTGTATTCCGCTCAAAACAAACAATTACATTTTTACTTTAGTTAACGCTCAAAGGAGTGGATTGATAAAGATCCTTTGATAAAGATCTGTGGATCACTCCTGCCATTTCAGCTAACATTCATGGATGGGACATTGCTGCCAATAACGGTGAACAATTGCCTTCGTTAAAAAGCCTCGGGGCAGTAACAAATGTGGAACACGCGAAACGGAGGCGACGTGCGAGCTCCCACACTGGTGTCTCGTAATGGAGAAGATGTGTGGAAAGTGACAGCTCCCGGCAGCCTCCTGGCTGCGCTCTGGAGACTGTAAACCGTCGGAAGGGAAGCTCGGGGGAGGGGGGGGCGAGGCCTCTTCCTCCACCCGGCGGGGGGTCCTTCCCTCCCAGCAAGACGAAAAGGCTCCACTCTGCAGGCGAAAGCTAACTGTTACCCACTTTGATCCTCTGCCACCCAAAGAAAGAAGGGCCCAAAAAACAACAAGGCAGCGGCCCCGGCGGTGGCAGACTGAGCAGCACCCCGGGCCTTTTGATCAGGACAGAAGGAGGCCCTCCACGGCCGCTTTCATCTCTGCGATGCGACGCAGGTGTCTGCTCTCAAAAGCTTTGCACCCCCAGCTGGGGGGCTGCTATTCTTCCTGCTCACGCTGTATGGAACAACAATTACACTGTGTAAACACTAACAATGTCCTGTTTTGGATACCACCACGAGGTGCAGTGTTTGCGTCACAGGAAGCTGGACATACACACTGCAATGCAAGTCAAGAGTGGGATGATCGGGAAGGCATTTCAAGTTGTGGAGCAATGAGGCGTCACAATGCTGCCATATATTTGAGGCAAAGATACAGCGACATTTACCAAACAAGAAACCTTTCCCTCTCACTGCTGTTTGACGGACTTGCACTGCACAGATTTTGTGGTATGAAGGCAGAATTGAGATATTTCGGGTTTTTTTTTTTTTAAATGCACAAAATGATGACTACATCCTGTCTGCTCAAACAATACAAATAAACACAGGGCCCTACAGGAAGCCTTTTTGAGTGTGGGCATGTTATGGTGGGCATGTCAGAACCAGCACTGGCCCTGTATATTTGTGATATAATATGGTAAATTGAAATTATTATTTCATGTTTAGCATCTTTATACTGTAATTATTGAAGCCATTTGAAAAATATTACTTCTGTCTTTTTGTATGTTGGGTTTTTTTTTCCAGTATAAAATCTAACTAATCTTTGAAATTGTCTGGGCTTTATGTGGTCTTCAAGCCCTTCCTTATAGAAAATTAACAAGATGTGCAAAAAATAATAATAATAATAATAATTAATTAACGAAGGCAGCATGGTAAAAAAATAGCAATTTAAGTGGGTAAAATTCAAAATACTGGACTTAAAAAAAAAAAAAACCAGAAAAACAAAGAATGTGCTGATTTCACTGCTTTTAGGTCTGAAATTTGTACTGGCCCAGTCGGACCAGCGTCAGTTAATGTCAGGTGGCCCGACAGTCAAGGAGTGACCTCAGACAACTGGGCCACCGTTAATGTAGACCCATGAAACATTAAAATCCACCCATTGTAAATCTAAACCACAGAGAAAGCATAGACAATACATTCAAGGGGTGTTCAAAGTTGGATAAGGAAAATAATTTTGGGTGGCGGCCAGTGGATTTGGACTTGCACAGGAAACCCAGCCTTTGTTGACCCTTTCCAGCACCACAATTTCACTTCACTTTGGTTCAACTACTCGCCTCGGTTGATGGTAAACTAAATCACATAAACCTGTTCAATTTTCACAATCAAAAATCCTCCTGAGTTCAGCCCAGCTATGTTCATTGACATTTTAAAAATTCTCCAGAATGTTAAAAATCGCTCTGTGTGTACCCCACGTTATACACACTGCACATGTTTACAACTGTGCGGTGTGAGGGTTAACAATTCAAGATGACTCAGGTGAGGTGCGGAAATACGTTGCGCCGTACCTTCATGTATGTGGAGCGCCGCCTGAAGTACTGCGGCTCAGGCACCCTCCTGGCCACTCGGCCTTGTGGTCCGCCTTCGTCCTGAATCTCTGCCAGCCTGAAGACGACAAAGTTGACGCGCACCTCACTGGCCTGCAAAACAAAAACGCTGTTTCCCTCACTGGTAGAGTAACCAGATGTTTTCTCGTACATCATGTATTCCATATTGTCTTTTCGACACTTGCATGTGCCTTTAAGAGGCGGTATTGATGGGACATCAGCGACTGTGGCTCTCCTTTCCCACATGCAAGAGCATTGCAATAAGTATACCGAAAAAGAAAAATGGAAAAAATATTTGCTTATAAAATTTACAATACAGCGCAGCCATGAACAATGAACGGCAATACAGTAGGGGAAAAAAAACTATACCTGGATGATCTGGGCGGCACTCTCGGGTGTACCGTGCCTCAGGTCCTGTCCGTTGATGGCCAAAACTTTGTCACTGTTCTTCAGTTTGCCGTCTTTGGCCGCCAACCCTCCCGACAGTAGATCCAGGATGAAAACGCCACTCTCGTCCGATTTGCGGATCAGCTTTATGCCGAGTGGTTCCGAGCGCTGACTCTTGGTCAACGTCACCTGCAGTACAGTGCCGGGGTTCTGAGGGGAGGCCGCGTTGCCGTGGGCGGTGCCGGGCAAGACGGGGTGCTGATCGGAGCGCGCCTCCCTGGGTTTGAAACCTTTCTCTTGCATGACGGTGAGCCTGACGAGGGAAGGCTGGCGTAGCACGGCGACGGCTCGAGCGTGAGGGACGGACGCGAGGCTGATGTCATTCACCTGAAAACATCACAGCGCAGACAAGATGAAGGCGTGTGTACATCAGGTGGGAGACCACAGCATTGTTTGGAACAATTCATCCAGATTTGGCTTGTTTTCCATTAGAAGGGATGTAGACGGAATAGCAAAAATTGTTGAAGCTGTTTGATTTATTTATTTGTTTATTTTTTGCAAGGAGGAAACTCAAATGTCTTCACCCTGGCCCATATAATAGAATACTTGCATAACTAGTTTGAACTTTTGCCTCCATGCCGAAGAAACAACACCACACAACATTTTGTCAATCAGTGACACCAGCCACAAGTTGACCTGAGGCGCTCACGCCTGCTGGTAGTAACCACGCCTTGTTACCATGGAGATCAAACCAGTTTATCTTGAATATCTGCCTTCACATTCCCTGCTGTATCGAGGCATGTTTACAAAACTGGAGGGGAATGTGCGCAAGAGTATCGTGCTCGCATTGCTCGATTCTTAACATATATACAAATGCAGTTATCACGCTACGCTTCAAAGTTTCAGATTAGTTAGACATGGGGGGAGGGGAAATCACTGTCACTTTTTTTCCAGTTAAGATATTTAAATAATACAGTCTGGACTTTATTAATAAAAAGCAGTTTTGTCTCTAAGGACAAAACTGACCTCTAGACATTTGACTGATAATGTATCTGCATTTTACTTTAGAAATACTTTAGAATGTCTCAAGAGTAAACAACATGGTGGTCCAGTGGTGAGCACAATACCCTCACACTTCTGTTCAGTTTTGTTCATATCCCTTCCTATGTGGATGAATTTTGCACATTGGGAATGTGAATGATTATCAATAATTGCCAGTCTATCGTGTACCCTGCCACTTGTCCAAAGTCAGCTGTGATAGACTCCAGCTCATCCATGACCCTAATGAGAACAAGCACGATCAAAAAATGTACGTATGTATGGATTGATAGAAGGTTGTAATGACTTAAATGGCCAAGCTACACTTATAACTTTCCAATACAAATTTAATGGCAGTCTGATTTGTTTGCCTCGAAAATATATGGAAATGAGTCATGCATTCTGATTTTCTAGCTTCAAACTATGTGTGAAATGATGCTTTTCAAGCATAGACCTTTTCACAACCCTTGTAAACAATAGCACCAGGGGACTCCCAGCTGGCAGAACACGAATGACTACGACTGACCTGAACAGAAAACAATGACAAAAACATGCCTTACTCGTGGTGTTACCAGAGAAAGAAATATCAGTCTTTTGACGCCCAAGAATACACGTGACGCCACGGTGAAAAAGTCTCCACACGCTCTCACCTCCAAGATGTGATCTCCGGGCGCCAGTCGGCCGTCACGAGCAGCTTGCGAGTCGCGTACGATTTCCTGGATGACGATGTTGCCCAGCGGCGTGTCTTTGCCCCCGACGATGCGCAGGCCGAGTTCTTCATCCGCCTCCTCTCTGAAGAGCTCGACCACATTGGACTCGGACACCAGGCTGGAGCGCAGCGGTGTGTTGTCTGGCAATGAGAAGGACGAGAACAGTCATGAAATACCGTTCCTCCATTTTAAATACCATTTCATATTTGAAATGATTATTGATAAAAGATGTACTGTTGTACTATGACTTCACAATTATGTTACTTGCCATCATTACATAACAGCAGCAGATCCTGAGCTGCACAATGTTACAAATTACCTTTAATAAAGGGGTAAGTTACGTGTGGGCCACGAGTGTGTTATTATCCTGTCAAAATGATATCAGAATCTAGACACTGGAAATGATGACACAGAGTATGATACTTTGCAAACGTTACATGGAACAACTCCAAGGCCATATCGAGTTTTGTGTTTTTCAACATACAGGTAAATATCAGAGTATTGACAAAAGTCAATGTATTTCAATTGTTAAACACAAAATATGTTCTATAGATCATCAAATCAATAGGAAGATCATTTTCACAGGGCTAAAAATGTGTTTGTTTCTTATGCAATATTCCAATTCCTTGAGATGATGAACTTTTGGGTTTCATTAGCCAAAGGCTATAATCATCAAAATTACTTTGGAAAACAATAAAAATCATGATGTATTTTGGTCTTCGAAGTGAATTTGTTTGAGTTCACGTCTTCCACAGCATCCAAATTTATTGAGATGCAACCCAAAGTAACTTCCGCATTCATTTCTCAATGAAAGCAAGAACAAATATCGATTCTGAAAGTGTACTCAAGGTTGTCTAACTAATCTGTAGGGGCGTAACCATTTATGTTGAGCACTGTACTGTAGATTGTGTCTTATCTTTGATAGGAATGTAAAAAATAGCATACATCATTGATAAGGACGGGGGAAAAAAATCCAATGACCCTATGTTTCTACTGATACCTGTATTGAAATAGAAGTGAAAGACCTTTGCTTGTAAATCTATGACATAACGCTGTGTCAACAGAGAGAATGACACGTGATGTTCAATTTTGTGGCGTAGAGATAGGTAAAACAAACAGGACAGTGAGGAGGACTTCGACGTGTAGTCACACAGACCACATTGAACCAATACACACTGCTTTAAAAGTTAGTTGTGTTGAAAATTTCTAAGGAAAAAAAATGACAGTTTGCGTGTTGGCTTTCAGCTCCAAGCTATATGGTGGATTTTTAAGCATTTTTTTTTTTTAAATGGGTTTTAAATCAGTTGGAAGTTGAATTCAGTGTTGCATGCCTTCGGTGTAGCACCACGTTGTGCCACAACATGCCAGGCAGCAGTGAGCACTACCGGATGTATGCCGTGTCAGAAAGAGCAAGAAGAAGAGGCAGAGAGGGCCCCCAATTAAACGCAAATAAGTCACCGAGTAGAGAAAATATATGACGGAGTATTGTTGTGTACTTTGTATGTGTTGCTCCTCCATGTGTCTTTGGCATCTGTACATATATCCGTTAGCCTGTCTATGGTGTTTTGTTGCTGTCAAGCGAGCTGACATTTGTTAAACACAACTAAAACGTTGGTTGAATTTTTTGGTGTTTGAATACACTCAGTTTCATTCCCTTTCATTTTATGTGATTCCACTTTTAAAATTCCAGTTTGAATGTTTACAATTCCTGTCACATCAAAGCTAGTTACTGTTAGCTATGGTGTTTCGTATTGTTATCATTAAAGTAGCAGCCTTTTGTTTTGTGGTTTGGTTGGATATTTTGGTGTGGAAATAGTATGTTTGATTTTCGTGTTGTGTTAGTTTTACATTAAACTTCAACTAGGAGTGACAAACATCCTGAAGCACGCACGCTCGGCATCTTATTTGGAGAGCTGTGCGAGTTATAGTTGTCTACATCTCCTCAAAGTGATGATATACCACAACCTCTCATTTCTTGACAGCGAGGGAGTGCAAACAGACACTCAGGAATACTTTAAAGAGTGAGACTGAATAATTTGAATTGTGTTTAAAGCATGAGGGAGAGTTAAAACTAAACAAATTAGCTATATTGCAGTTTCTGGGGATCACTGTATTTTAAGTGTGAACTAAATGTAGTTCCAGACAGACTTGCTAGAAGCTGGTAGTACTTTTCCAATCAAAATGTGTCTGGTGTAAACAGCTGGAATCTGCTGCATGTTCCTGCAGCTAGGCTAATGATTCACCCATGGCAGACTGAGGACTCAACCATCAGCAATTCTGCATCTACAATCACTCCCCGCAGACGGGGGATGGGCACACCGGTGAGATCATTTCTTTTCATCTCAGCCAAATATTAGCCACTCATCATGAGGGCGCGACTGACGCACTCGGAGCTTCTTGATGACAAATGACTCCATACCGTCCTCGCTTTCTTCATAGGCGGGGTTAATTAGTCCGGGATCGGGCAGGTCTCTGTTGGCGCTGCGCGGCGGAGTTCCCAAATGTTTAGCGTCAGCAGACAGCTCGCCGTCGCCTTTGCGCCCTTTCAGTTCATTCCACGGGGGCCTCTTCCTTTTCTCCGCTTCCTCCCGGAGTCTCCTGAAAGCGGAACATCTGGGCAAAAAACAGAATACCATCAGGGAGAAGTGATGACGGATCATCGGCTTTTAAAGAAACATGCGGAAACAGCAGTTTTAGGAGGTGCAATGAGAGGGGTGGACATCATAACGCAGCGGGAAACATGACACTTGTGCCTAAAACTACAAAGTACTGTACGTGTGACAAGTTCATTTGAGTGCCTTACAAGCTGGGCGTCTGCTCATGTATGGAAAACTGTTCGATGGCTTTGATATCCACCATATTTATTTTCCTCACTGTTAAGACAATTCAGCACCCTAGAAGAACGACTGTCCGAAAAGTTTTTTTTCCCCACTCCTACTACTATTATTGGCCCACTAGTATGCAATTTAACCTTACTAGTAAACTACTGTGCCCAACAAGTAGACATGTCACCCACTAGGAGCCTCCTTATCAAGGCTATCCCAAAAATGCTCCAACAGCTGTCTATAAAGCTATTTGGAGTATTTATTCAAATATTCTTGATATCGAGCTGAAGGTTCGTGTACTTAATAGGACAACTACCAGCTACTAATGTGGCAATACCTCTACTAGCAATACTAGTACAATACAGATGTCGACACTGGAGTGAAGTTTTGCTCCGCTGGTAGCATGTAGATGGCCTACCAGTATGCCAAAGTTGTCCAACTAGTGAGCTGGATTCTCTTACTAGTTAGGACAATATAGTACAAGTATATTTGTTCTAAAGCTGGGTATCAAGGTTATCGAATAAATGCTCTGATGACGACTGCATTGAAAACCATTTACTGAATATCCGTGGTAAGGAGGATATCAGTGTGTGACACATCCCTACGAGTTAGACCTAGTATTGTTACGAGTGCGGCACAGCGGACGGTAGCTTTTATTGTGTAGTAGTAGGCCAAAAGTGGCACGAGTATTTGAAAAATAAATCACGAGTAAAACAGTTGTTGTATGAGTACATGGACCTGAAGTTGGTTATCAAGGATATGGAAAAAAATACTCAAAACTCATTGCAAACTTTTGTGTGCTTGTTCCTCCCGGCCAAACTTTGACCCCTTTGGTTGTTTGCGCAGATCGGCCGCTGCCTGCCGACCACAACAGGCCGCGTCATCACGCCCGACTTCGGCCAGAAGAAGCAGCTCGCTGAGCATGTGGATAACTCGGCGACTGATTTACAGCCTGCCTCAAACTCTGTAACCTCAGCTTTTGCATGTCTGAAGGGAAGTGGCGTTACACAAGCAAATATACGATGGCAGTTCAAGCCAGTGACATATTTTTATACTGTACATGCATGACTCTTCTGTTAATGATTTTTCAGTATTCTATGAAGTGGAGCAGAACGGGAGACTTTTTATAACGCACACAAGGGACTTACATAATCTATGGCTGTGTTGGGAATTAGTCCCTATCTAGATAGCGCTCTATTTAGTGGGTTCGCCATTTTGCAGAAATGCAGGTACCTAATGATGTGACCAGTGAATTTCATGTAAAATGTATGAATTACAAAAAGCTTCAAGGCTTTTTAGCAGCTGATGAGAGATCAATACCACTTTCGTCCATGCCCATTAAGCATCACACTACAGCCATCAACCAGTTAGCTTAGCATTAAAGTGCAATCGGGCTGAAGCTAAAATTTGTCCATTGGATTTCTTGAATAACTGTAGAGACCGCAAAGTTGCCAGGCAACCAGCAGAAAGAGTCAAGGAAGTTATTGTAGCCCATCTGACAAGCCGTGTGGCTTCTAACTATCCTCGGATTAAACGCATGCATTTAAATGTTTGACTTCAGTGCACCTTAAGACACGCTGTAGTAGAAAGATTAGCTCAGTTGTTAGCCTTTATGCTAAATTAAGGAGTTGCAGGCTGTGGGCTGCATATTAAATTGACAAATTTTCTCGCCGAGAAATCGGCAAGGAGGAGTGTGTTTATTCACAAGCATCACGTTCTCTGTTACACTTTAAATTATTTGGTTTCTGTTTGGCATTCTAAGTTTATTTACTTGAATCATTGTGTACTTTTTGACGCCGCAGGACACGTCTGTATAAGTGAACTGTTTACCAATGCTTTCACTGGGTTCCGTGTAAAATGCAAAGGCAGAATTTCTCCGTGTCAATTGTGACGGACAGGTGTTTTAACTCGAAATTTTATATGCATGTTTCCAAAATGAGGTAAAACTCCGAATAAATTCACCCAACAAAATTCCTTAATCGTTATTTGGTGACTCAAACAAGGCTGATGAGTGGTACCTGTTGTGCAGATGAGGCTGAAGTTCACAGCGCTGCATCTGCTGCTGGCACTCTGCATAGTAAGGACACATCACAGCCAGCTTGTCGAGCAGGTTCCTGACCAACAGGGTGGAGGGCCGACATTGGTGCAGCTGCAGCCTCTGGCGGTCCACGGGGCAAAAGTCCTTATCTTTCAAGAAGCTGCCCAGACAGTCAAAGCAGTAGGTGTGTCCGCAGGGGGTGTCCATGGGCCTGATGAGGGGCTGCAGGCAAATGTGGCACACAAGCTCGTCGTCCACATCATCGAGATACTCGTACAGGTGGCTTTCCTGGCCCTCGTGCTGCTGTCCGCACTCCTTGCAGACCCTCGCCCAGGACACGCACGCAGTCTTTGTTTCCGCTGTGGTCATTGTCTCTCTTCAGTCCGGAAAAATGGTGTGTTCAAATAAAGGCGAATCCGTTCAGGCGGTCAGCGTGCGATAAAGGTCCGACTGCGTTACCGCCATGTCTTCATCTTCTGTGGACAGAGGAACACAGTGAGGTGAAATGAGGCGGTTAAAGAGCTACTTGTGCTCAAGGCGGCCACAGGAAATGACAAATCAACCGAGCGATAGCAACATGGCAGCGAACTGCAGCTGCTTCCTTTCAGCGGGCTTCCTAAGGGACAAAAGGAATTTCAGCTCATTTCAGCTAAAAACAAAATGCTCTATATTCCACAGAAGAGTGCTAATATGAAGGAACAAAGATACGGTGCTACGAGAGTGCGAGAAGTTTGAATTAAGTGAGCCGCAGTGGAGGTCCTGTCATTAATGGCCCCTTGAATCCAATCAGCACCGGTCTTTACTCTTTGTGCACCACTTAATCTCCTTAAATTCTCCCTTCGAAGAATGCTGAATAGGAACACATTCTTGGAACACACATCTGACCTCCTAGAATACATACTGTACTTGACCAGTCATAGAATTCACTCACTGTGTGTTATGAGACAACACGCGCTCTAGAGTATTGGGGTTTGGGACATACCTCGCAATTGATGAATATAATAGCTTGGTACTACCATGTTGTGCCACGTTGCTTCCTCACCTAGTACCTGTTTGCCATAGGTGACTCAGCCCCAGACAACTTAGCACTACTGGAATAGATGTAGCATACTTAGGAGAATGAAGAGGACGCCCCTTTCGGTGTATTTTTTTGTTTTATCACATTTTACCATTTAAACGTAAAACTAGGAGTTGTTTGAAGGTTTAGAATTAGCATTTTACATCAGTGCTATGCTAACGTTTGTCAGCCCATCCATGGTGTTTCACATTGTATACTAGCATTAAGCTATTGGACCTCCGGAGACAAAATTATATTTTAGTTGAACATTACGGGACTGAAATATCTTTTTATTTTTCTTTTGTTGAATGTGTTACTTTTATAGTACGCATTGACAACATCTTGAAGCAAGCATGGTCTTGAGATAATGGTGCAAGTCATGTTCTACGATAGTCGCCCACTTAACTGCAAGAGAGTGACAACAGGTGCACAGGAATAATTTAAGAAGTGTGTTTTAATAGCTTTATGGGCGTTTGAATAAGTTAAAATAGCTGACTTCTGCGACCTATTTGGGGTTTCTTGCACTGTACTTGTCCTCTCATGTAACATACAACGTAGCACGTGGCATTAGACGGACAACAGTACTGGAATTTGAGACACACCTCTCAATTGTTAAAGACATCAATCATTATGGCATTTTGGATTAAGCGCATGCGTCCAACTCTATGGGAAGAGAGTTGGATAAATTCACCGTTGATGAACCGGAATAGAGATTGCAAACCAGACCCTCTTCTCAGGACCAACATCAGTGACCTCAAAAATGTTTGTCAAGATAAGACAAAAATTTCCCACAGAAACACTCCCAACATATTCAAGAGTGTCTCCCAAAACAATCGAAGCCGTTTTATCGGCAAGTAATGCAATTAATATTGGGACTTCTATGTTCACTTTTTGTAATATAAAAGACGTCTCTCGGAATAGCTCTGTACATCCATTCCAATAGCAGCGAAGCAACTTGAATTTGAACAGAGGTCAGGTGCCGCTACGGCCTGTCATCAATCTAACACCCACCCACTTTTTGTACGGGGGTCACCGGTGATCAACAGGTTATGCCAGCTGACTTTGGCCTACCCTGAACTGGCCACCAACCAATTAAAGCTAACCTCACATAATTACAGTAGATGTTTATATGAAAAACATTTCCTGTCCCTAAATATAAACCAGAATCGTAACAGCATGAACTAAGCGTGCCTTCTTATAACCACCCGACAAACCAAGCTAGGGTGGTCTGTTTGTAACCTTGAAACCATATAATACAGTATGTTGGGACCGTCGTAAACCGAGGACCTTCAATTTGCGTCCACAGAGTGCATGTCAATGGAACAACAATGGAAAAGGTTACATAAAAACATTCGGCTATCAAAAATGCTAAATTAGGAGTACAGTACAAGGACTCAAAGTTGTTGTCGATGGCTTTAGTTCAACATGTAAAATGTTGCTTTGTATTTGTCCAGACATGCTCACATTGGCAACAAACAACACCCTTGAGTTTTCTCTCTAGGACTACAGTTTTGAAGACAAGTTAGCCCCCTGGCCCCCCCGTTTAGGGTTATTATCCTCGTATTGTACTCACCAGAGATGGTATCTCCAATCCAGAGCGGCGAGCAGTCAAAGTACGCAAACACGAGACTAACCGAGCAGCTGCCTCCAGCCTCAATGAAACTAGAGCCCTGCCTCCCCTGCACACCGTCACGATAATGTCTGGGCGTGCATGTGTGTGTCAGTGTGTGTGTGCGACTAAGTGTGGAAGAATACTTGTGTGCTGTACAGCCGTGAGGAATGCAGTGGTGATTTGGTGTAACTAGGCAGAGTGGAGCTATGGCCGAGAGCAAAGTGTACCTCTTGTCAGTGGCCGTAAGTAATGTGTGTGTGTGTGTGTGTGTGTGTGTGTGTGTGTGTGTGTGTGTGTGTGTGTGTGTGTGTTGGGTGTAGGTCTGCTGATGTTGCACTTCCTCAGGTGAAGTACACTGAATGACTGATTGCATACAAACAGCTGATTGTCGCACACTGTGGCTTTGGTCTTTTTTTTCCTCACTTGGTACAATTGATATCTGGTCTTGCAATGGATACTGTTCATGGATCCTGTGACACACACACACACACACACACACGCACACACACGCACACACACGCACACACACGCACGCACACGCACACACGCAAACACACGCAAACTCACCCAGGCTGTGATCCTTATACGAGGGGGTGGAAAAGTAGGTACAGTGAACCCCCGTTTATCAACGGGAATACGCTCCAGACTCACGCCGCGATAGGGAAAAATCTGCGATAGAGAGAACATGTAAATATTTTTTTTTCCCAATACCATAGATTGACCCCTCCTGCACACTTGAAGTTCCCATACCATCTATATATATTTTTTTTTTTTTCTTTCCCAAATGATTGACATGGCTTTTGTTTGACAGCTGGTTTGTCGATTGTATGCAATCGCTGAAAAAAAGGCAAGGCTTGTGAAATGAGCGGATCAGATTTTGGCTTCGCTATGACGTAGATTTGAGACTTTTTTCAAGTAATTGCACTGAAAAAAAATGATGTGCCTTCGTGGCCTCTGAGCGGCCACGAAGGCGCCAAGTGTCACCATGAAGGCTGCCTTGGCCATCTCAGAGTGCACTGTGGCTGGCCGGAATTCTGACCGCTGAATTTTAACGGAGCTGACAACAAAGAGACATTGGCGGCCAACACGCCCACATATCAGCAACCACCAATCACAGGAAAGCGGTTTTCCCTATCAAATCAAGGAGAACAGCAACTCTGTCAGAGCAAAGCTTGTTGACATATGAATTTAACTCATTCAATGGCAAAAATTGTTTTTTTTAAGAATCCAACAAGGTACGTCTTCATGTATTTTTCTTTCTTTTTTTTCAGGTGGTTGTTTCAAGAAGGCTTTGGAATATGGCCGGCACTGAATGAGTTCTGAGAAAACAAAAAATAGTTTGAAAAAGAGGTCCCTGGTCATTTTTTCAATCTGAATTATCTAGCAAACGATTAAAGAACACCAAAAATTAATCTTAGATGTATTTTTAATTGTGCCATGGGACCTTTAAAACACATTTTACAGTACTAAAATCGACTTTTTAGGGCACGGGTGCCAATTTCATTTTGGAGTTACGTCTTCCCTCGGAGGGCCGAATTCACGTTTAATCATAACATTGCATTATTACTTGTACACAACAAATTGATGGATTACTAGTTTTGAAATTAGTCAATTATTTGTTTGTTGTTTGGGCACTTATTGTTCAAGTGAGTGTAAACAGGGTCAGAAAATTATTGCAAAATCTCAATGTTATTGATTACACAGGATAATTTGACATTTCGGTACAGATTTTAGACAGGATCATGTAAGTTGACACACATGATCTGCTCTCGCGGGCCACATAAAATGATGTGACGGGCCAGATCAGGCCCTCGGACCATGAGTTTGATACCGGTGTTTGAAGATGTTTCTTACCCCTGTTCTCATTCTCTCACTGTCAAGAAATGGGAGACTATTGTATAACATCACTTTGAGGAAACGAAAAGACGACGACTCGCCCATGGTTATGAGTAAGTTCAGTTGAAAATAGGAAATTCCTTTAAATCGCTGTGTGTATTAGTACGCACAAACTAGTTATATTGGCAGTTACAAGTTTAAGTGACATATTCCCCATGTCACAGAGCCAAGGGAACGACCAGCCGATGTCACTCTCTGAAGATGATGTCAAAAAAGAATTTAAAAAAATAATAAAATCAAGCTGAAGGTCCTAGATGCAGTTTAAGGATTTAAAACAAGGAGAGAAAAGTCCCGTAATTCAGGACAACGTACACGACACATCAAAGGTAAATACTCTTCATTTTCACAACAATTTGGCTCACAAGTTTCCATTCCCTGGCAGAATGTTAGAAATATTGGCAAGTTTTCAGGGGGTATTGAACAGGAAATAGGGCTGGGTGATGATTCACTATCAATAGGAATCACGATATACACGTGATCAATATCAATACAAAATGCAGCTGATAACATTTGATTTGATCACAATTAAGAGCACCTAAAGAAGAAAGCCAAAGAAAAGCCATGAATGTTGAATTTTCTTCTTTCCTCGGGCAAATCTGTTCAAAGGAGTGTCGTCGTTGGTAACCAAGCATATATGCTTTTTCGGAAATATCTCAAACGAGGACCTTATGTTTTGGGCTCCTTTGAAATGTCTCAAAAAAGTAAAACATGAAAGCTGCAATCATGTGATGGTAAACCCCCCCCCCCCCACACCCCCACTGCATGGTGGGGGGAGAACATTGGTGGTCCGACAGTGTCCTCACGAAGGATTATGATTCTGGGCCCGAGGACTTACTATGATGTATACGAGTGAGTCACATGTCCCGCCACACCCCTCACAGAACTCAGGTGATGCCAAGCCAGACGAATGACTTCACCCAGCCGTCAAGACAGGCGATGCGTCAAATTTGGGATTACCGGCAAAGGAAATTGCAAACAATGGAAAGTTGATCAAATCAAGGACATCAGCACTTGAGTCATCAGATGAGAAGCTTGGATGTGTCAAGTTTGATCAAGGGACATTTCGTTTTTCCTGCCATTCTATTTAAAAGGGAAATTCCACTTTAAATCATGAAAACCCCGCATACGCCCTTCTGTTTGTCCGTTTTGCAGTGCCTTAACACTTCCTTCATGAATGTTTCAACATGGTTAGTCTACAGCTGGAACGCAAGAATGACTTGTGTTTACATTCACAAGTCTTCAACTTAGCAAAAACAACAAGAACATGACATCTGGACATCACATTCATCTTCAGAACAACTTAGATAAAGACACAGTTGTTAATCTTTGAAGGCGGCGGGCTATTCATCAACTTAAATGGATTTAATTAGAAAAGAAAGGCATAAAGTTGTGCAATTGGATGCACTTCAAAACGCCTCAGATTTCTTGTTGCTTAAGTCACAACAATTCAACATGCCAAACTTACTGTTTTGCATCAATTTATCACAGATTCCAATGCGGGTTTTTAAAAGGGCTTTTTTACAGTTCACTGGTAAGTCTGATTTTAGTGTCGCGCACCTTCAGTGTTGCAATATGTGCCCCACTGTATATGGTTTGGTTGAACATTAAATGCATATTTAATAATTATCAGTGCTGTTCCAATTGGGGGGTGACACCCGCCGATTGCGATCATATGAACCAGCTGCACATTCTTCAGTTTTAGAGCTGCTCACTAATGATTATTTAAATCATTGATTAATCTGTCAATTATTTGTTTCAATTATTTTTCGCCGAGCTGCGGGTGGTGGGTTTTTGTGATCGTCAATGAAAGCAGGGTGCTACACCAACTTTTGCACTTAATATAACATGAGTGGCTAGATAGACCATTGATTGGATAATAAAGTAAAATAGCAAAGTGATTTCACCCCCATTATTATTTTTGATATGCCATTTTTCCTCAATTGAACAAAAGCACACTTTAGAGATTTGTAGCTATTAAGAGTCACTGGATTGAAGTTCTAATTTTCTGTTTGAGTTTGAAATGGATGATTATTTGAATGCACCTCGTGTCTCGCCGAACTTGAGAGATTATAATGCTTAATGCAATGTTCCCGGAAATAAATGTCCATGTTTTAAGATAGCGATCGTTTAATAGTTCGAGACCCAAACGACCATGTACTTCTTGTATTTTTACAACAGCATGACCTAAAAGAATTTATAATACCACAAGTACCACTAACAGACAAACACGCAGTCGCTGTTGCCAAAATGCTGAGCGAGACGTGACGCAAGAGTTGAATGGGAAGCCACCTCAAAATGTCTTTTCAAAAGCAAATAGAGGTAGTTTAGATAAAGGGCTATTAATGTGGCAAAGTACACATTCAGACAATTTATACAGTAAAGATTTAACCTGACGTGCATCAGATGGGTTTCTGCCCTATGTGTGCAGTCTGACAGAACAACTAAACTACAACCCCTTCCACCACCCCTCCCCCAATTACTAGTAGGACCATTAAATGATGCACTCAAGATCGTGCGACCAGATTAATTTTTTACCACCACACACTGAAAAGTTGTCTGCATTTGCGAGCATATCGATCGCAGTATCGAGCCCTGGAAAGGCACTGAACTACATGCCGATCACGTACTTTTCAAAGGATATCGGCCAATCATGATCAGTGCCCGATCAATCCAAGTACCCCAACATCTGTTGTTTTGTGATTAAATTTTACAGGAAACGTGACTGATGGAAAACGGCATGGAGCATTGTACCTATTGTCCAAAGAACTGTGCAAGTAAAAGTGTGTTTTGCATTTCCTTATGTTGTGTGATCGTCTCCCATTTCTTGACCGTGTAAGAATAGATACTATGGGAATACTTTGAAAAAGTCTTTTAATTAGTTAAAATGTAAGTATGTAAAAATGAATATGCATTGTCTCTCCTTATTACAGATTTTCAACCTGTAGCGGCCAGCTCTGGAAAATACAGCCATAAAGGGGGTTTCACTGCATTTTGAACTTGAACCAGTAACCATAGTGGGATCCAAAAAAGGCGCCATAAAGTCATAAACACAGCAGCAGGACATGGCATGTGGTGCTTCTAATCACTTTAATTAGGGCTCTTCATGAAACGTCTTTAGCAACACGTGTTATTTTTGTCATTGGCCAAGTAACTGCGACTGTGAGACTCACACTTGGAAAATGTATTAAGGCCATAAAGTTACCACAATTGGTCCTACCTGGACACAAAGGGTTCCAAAATGTCAGTCTGAACTTCCATGTCCTGCAGTAAAAAGTTCCTAAACTAAGACGTTTATGGCCCCTGCTTGTTTATTACCCAGCTCATAAATAACTCACTGTCCCCATGTCAACGTGGACCTCGTTAATCCCAATTTCAATGTAGCAGAAGAGGTGAAATGAACCGAATGGATAAACGGCGCGGGTGACCAGTTTCGTAGCAAATGCCAAATGAACGATTTGTTGTATTTTCGCATCATAAATGTGATCATTAATAGACAGTGGGTGGTCTTTGTCTTTCTGGCGTGTTTGTCACGTACAATAAATTACTTTGTTCAAGTCAGACCGAAACTCGCCTTACCTGTGAAGTTTTTTTCCTTCTACCCGGAAATGGCAAACCCGACCACGGCAAACACAAAGACGTCAATCGATGTTGCCAACGTGGGTCGAAAAACGACGTCCAAACAAAGAATATAAACGTCCCTCTTGATGAGTTTTTTTGTTTTTTGTTGGGTCTTGCCGTCGGTAAAAAAAAAAAAAATTCCCAACTCGGCGTCTCAGGTGTAGTTGGACCTGCTCGGGTGGGGTGGGGGAGCAGGAGGGAGTTTCCCACGTAAAGCACTTGCGAGTCGTCCACTGCGGGGGAAAGAAAGAGAATGCAGGTGGAACAACAACATGGAGGGAATCACACGTCTTTAGTTTCACTCTCCATGTAAACAAAAACAGACGTCTCTTCTTTCTGTGTTGTTTTCTTCCTCTTATATAATGTTTGACGTTGTCTATAAGTCACGTACCCCTGTCCAAACAACACTATCGTGCTACAATTATTGTATGCCTCGTTGCAAAGTACAAGGAAGCTCAGTTATATATATATATATATATATATATATATATATATATATAAAATTTGGCCTTTTTGAAACAAAAGACACCCACTTAAAACTGCCCCAACCTTGGAAACCTTTTTTTGTCAGTAAAGATTGGGTGTTATTTGACACGGTCAAAGGTATACATTAAATAACGTTAATTTTTCAAGTTGTTCCTCTGAGTGTTTCCAAAATATACTGTAGTCACGCGTTTACTGGCCATTATTCAAGAATTTAGCTTTGAATTTATTCTTTATTGACATATTATACAAGTCTAATAAGCTTGGTAAATATCAAACACATTTATCATTGATGATAGTTGGCCCTGGCTGTTTTTAGAGGAGATTGGAGAGGATAAATCACTCATCACAACACATACTTTGCTCAAATTAACTTCAGTTACATATGATGATGAATAAAAAAAATCTACTATGTGAAGACACTGATCAAATTGATGACTCCAATAATTATCAACAATGGTTTAACAAAAGTAATACATTTCAGTCAAACAACATGAAACAACTTCGTTACATGTGCCAGCAAAATGTTCACTTTCTATAACATTTTCTATAAATCTTTGCAAGTGTAGATATTCCTTGGAACTCATTGTCCCATCACTGATGAGCTATGTTTTATAACTGGCCTGGAGGGGTACCAGTGTTGTGCTTGGTGCAACTGTATTAGAATTTAGGTTGTAACTCTATGCCCTTGTTTCTGATAGTGTTAAGGTCACAAGGCTTAGGTCACAACAAAAAGCCTTGTTGGTACTGAACCATCGCCACTGATGATAGCTTCCCCTTCGCTATTAGCATGTTACCATTGAAATCAATGAGCCACTTATTACATCCGCTCTGTGGCCTTACTTCCGGCACTTATCTGCATTGTCACCAGTGAGTGTCTAGTCCTGCGAGCTGGCATCAGCAAATGTCGCTTTGTCTTGGAGCTTTTTCTTCCACGGCTGTAAATCGTCAGGGGGGGAACTGGCTTTCACAGAGAGGAGGTTTTATGGCGTGAGGACTTCCCTTCCATTCTACAGGGGGTACCGTACTTTACACCGTTCATGTGTCACATTGCCCCCACACCAAAGCTACCATCGCCCCCCCCCCCAAAAATAGCCTTTGTAGCCATTTTTTTCAGAACACCTACAACTGTTCTAAAATCAACCACTTATGGCAGGCCAGCAGCACAAATTAAAACTTAAATCAAAACTTTCATCATTTAACCAGTGAGCAATGTCAGGACAAACATGAGATTGTCAGGCACCTCCTCAAAATACAATTAAACAAGAGTGAAGTACAGAAGCCAACATTACATATACCTGCGCTCATAAGTTTATATACCCTGATATAATTTGCAAAATATCTTCAATTTTGGGAAAATACACACCCATTTTTTTGCCCCTAATTGCTATGTTTTCTTTCATGATTGTCCTGTTCTGAAATGCTACAAACTCTAAACTGGATTGATTTTTTTTTAAAAGTGTCTCTCCTGATCACTCACTGTCTTTTCTTGAAAAAGGTTGTGGTTCAATGGCAAAAACAGCACTTCCACATTTTGCCAAGGTCTCTACACTTAGGGCCACAGCTGTAGCTAGAAAGATGACAACAAGCAGCAGCACAATTAGTGAACACTTTTTTTTTAAGAGTGCTATTTTTCTCATCGGGGAAATTCAATTGTCACAGAAGCAATATTTTCACATGCAAACTTTATGAATACATGCAAACTTTATGAAACAACTAGCAGTAAAAATAAATAAAAAGGAGGAGAAATTAAAAGGAATTTGAATGTTGCATGGAGGTACAGTATATGGTAAGAAATAGCATTGTATAATTATGCTATAATGTCTGAACAGTTTGTCTAATAATATTATTGATGGTGTTATATAATGACATCCTGATGATATACAGTTAGAGGTTAACGATGAAAAAGAAATGAAAATAGAGGTAAAAACTGTCAACATCCTCACCTGTCATACAAGTGTAAAAAGAAGCTAACATTGGTTTTAATAAGTATAAGAAAATGTTGCTGCTGTGTAAAACCACTGTCTCAGCTTGACTTTACATTTCATATATAGTGACCCTCCTCAAATTCTCACTAAACATGTCATTTAACCGCAGACACCTTTTAGTAGCACTACATAAAATTAGAGCGGCCTGCAAAATAGCCAGACAACCCCCAAATAAATCGCATTTTGACCTTGCGTGTCAGCTTTTATGACAAAAGGTAGTGGTTTTATGGCAAACAAAACAGGGTTAACTACAAGTTGACAGTATGTTGGCATGTAATAAATGTACACAGTGTGAAATATGAGGCCTCTCGGTGTATAGTGAAGAAACAGTGCCGCCTTGTGTTCACATGCGGTATTGTTCTCAGTAAAACAGCGGCGGGGAACCTTTTACAGATAAAGATCGAGCTATTCTAACGGCGCTGGCTCACTGCAAGGCTAAAGTTGAACATCACTGACTTTTTTTTTTACATGCGTTCGCCATTCACCACATGAACGATTTTTTTCAACCTCCGACGATGTGACGTGTGGGGGAAAAACGGGGAAAGTCAACCACGGTTGAGAGGTTGTGATCTTGATTCGCTCATTGTTTGGGATCTTGGGGATAGCAGTGACATAAAATAATGTGAAGCAAGTATCAAGTGCCGAGTGTGACATTTGTGAATACTTTTGCCACATATGCGATGAGATTTGTGTCTTGAAGCGCGTTGTCAACTTTGGATTTGATGAACCACTGCTGGGAAACTTGGAAGTGGGGTGAAAGGCCCCAAGACAAGACAAACACGGAGCTAACGATACGCCTCATCCTGACGCATCCTGGGTTTCGCGCGCGCGAACACACACACACACACACACACACACACACACACACACACACACACACACACACACACACACACACACACGCACACGCGCACGCACGCACGCACACGCACGCACGCGCGCACGCGCGCACGCACACACACGCACTCGCGCGCAATGTGTGCCTCCAAACAAGAGAGACGTCGTTTGTTTTTCCTGGGATCGGTAAACATCCTCGACACAAAACAGTTCCTTAGGAGTGAAAGAGGAGAGAAACTCGCACCAACGTGGGCAGCTGCACTCTCACTCCACCGCCTTCTTTGATGTGCTGAGACCACAGCTCAGCATCGTTTTATCGTCTGCGCGTCTTTTCGAATGAACTTACATAAAACAGCTCACGTAGTCCTTTTTCTGTACGTATTATATGCCTGGGAGCGGGGCGGTGCATAGCAACCCTGATGACCCATAATCTATTTTTGGATTGGTCCCTTGCAGTTTGTTTTCATGAATTGTCGCCTCTATCTCGCGTGATCAAAATAGAACCGGTTGTCTGAAGAACCGCATCACTTGTTCATTGGTCAACATTAAATTTTAATCACATTTGCCAATATGTTGGCACACGAGGAACACTATTTGAACCGGAAGCAGACAGGACATGGAAGTGAAAAAAAAATCGTTTTTATATTAAAAAATACCAAGTAACGAGAGAGATCAGAGCTGGGCATGGAAGAAAGCTTGACGGTCTGACAACGTGTCACTGAGCCACCTGACCTTAAATACTGAGGGACAATAGGCCAATCTCGATCCTATATGACAAAGTGAAGGTGACAAAATAAAGACTAATAAAATAAACCTAAGCTGTAGCAACTGACAACATCAAGGTCCCAATTCAAAACACCGTCACAACATGTGTAACAAAACACATTTTTGATGGTGATTTCAAAAATGCCTCTTCTTTTTTTTTCTAGCTTTTTTTTTCCTAGATAGTTTAATGCCGAATGTTTACGTTTGACCTATAACATCTCACGCAGTACGGATTTTACCATGAGCTGTATTTTTTATATAATGTTATATAAATGTTCTAGAGACAAAATGGGGAGCAAAAAGTCATCTACAAAAGTTGACTTGCATGTCTGATTAAAAAATTTTGGGAATTTATGTTGACCACTGTTTATCTTGTCTAAATATTGAAACATATATCCCTTCTTCATGGTCAGAGTTGCATTCCTGGCACACCTGCTATAAGTGAAAATGTGCAATTTGGCATCACCAAAAATTAAAAATATTAAAACGTTTTTCTTGAATTAAACCAAACCAAATGGGAGCTGGAGCATTGCCTGCATAATCCGGCGCCCTTAGAAGTGTTAAAATATGAATTTAAAAAAAGGTTGTTGTCTACTGTAAATGTAAATGAATAAAAGCTTTTGACATTTACAGTAGCCACCTGAGTGCTTGAACCTGGAATTCTTTCAGCCCTCTTTTTTAACAATTAAAAAAATATATGTAGTTGAAGCCTGAATATACCCCTCCCACACACTGGATGCATTTCAACAATTTTTAAACCAACACATTGTAAACATATTTGAACACACGTGTAAATTACAAGACTAAACTGGAGAAAATACTGACTTA